GCCCCAGGGGTGTGAAAGTGTCACCGCACTGGCTCAGCACCGCAGACAGGGGTGCACGGATCAGCTTCCCAGGGAGGCTCAACCACAGCATCGGGGCATTTGCACACTCAGGGTTTGACAGGAATGAAAAAGGAGCCCATGACAAGTCTCCCACAACTTCCTCAGGGATCTGAGGGGGTCCTAGCCCCCAGGCAGTCCCAGTCATGCAGGACCCAGTAGAATCTGGAGAGAGAATGGATTCTGTTGGAAGCTGAGAGACACCAAACATTGCTCACCACAAACAGCTCTCCCAGCTCTCGAGCGTCTCCAGGCTTGTTAAACAAATAAAGGCAAGTCCAGCCCAATAAAGCAAACAGAACTCTGACACGTGCACATCTCCTGCTTCCCCTGTGATCCCAGGGAATCCTACCAACCCACAGTGATGGGATGGGGCTGGGGGGGGATGGAGCAGCCAGCACCAGTTGCCTGCTAGTGGCCAGGAACAGGCCACCAGTGTGTTCCTTCCTTACTGGAGAGAAATCCCTTCTGTCTGCTCTGGCTTGGCTCAGCATCCCACCCAGCATCTTCCCACCCTGCTTGGTGGGTGCCTGGTCTGGGCAACATTTTTAAACCCACTTTTCCACTGGGCCCTGCCCCCAGCCGCAAGATTTCCTGCTGCTACCTGTTGAGAAACCATCTGGGGCCTTGTGGCAATGTCACCCCATGTCACCTGCTTCCTGATCTAGTGAGGAGAGAAACCACCAGCAGAGAAACCGCCAGCAGTAACTGTGCATGAGCTGTGCCCCGAGCCTGCTCCCCAAGACTGTGGGGGATCTTCAGCCAAGACTGTCCCCCAGAGCCCATGAGGTATCTCCACCTGGAGCTGTCTCCCAAAATCTTGTGGGGCATCTCCAGCTTCCTGAGCTCTTTCTATCACTCCAACCAACACAGTGAGCAGGCAGCAGGCAGCATGAGAGGGCTCCATCCTCTTTGGGGACCACACATCCTCAGCCCCCAAGGCTGGCAGGGGACTCACCTGAGCTGCATTAAAAACATCCCTTTTATTTTTCCCAGCCCATGGAGGGGTTAGGGAGCAGAAAACAGAGGAGAGCCTGACTAGCCCCGAGGGAGCAGCAGCACTGTGACATATGGGAGAGCAGGCACGTTCTTCCAGCACGGGGCAGCACTGGAGTCCAGCACGGGGCCACACGTGAGGGATGTGGGATGATAAGGGGCACAGCGAGCAAGAGAGACAGAACAGGGATAGAACATGGCTGTTCCTACCCAAATAAACCCATCAAGGAGGTGCTGGAGTGATGTTTTAGCCAGGCAGGGATGACAGCTGTGCCTGCAGTGGATCAGCCCAACCAGGGGAACAAGCACAAGGTTAAAGTCCAACAGGAGATACAGCTCAAAACTACCTAATCCTCAGGAAAACCCTATGTGACAGCAGCTCAGTGAGGCACCAAGGTCTGCCTGGGACTCAGCATCAACACTGGGAAGGCTCCACTGCACCAACCTCTCTGGGAACAGGTCATAAGATTTCCCCAGAATGTTCCTCACACTGGGAACTCGAGAGGCTGCTGCCCAGGGAGCCATCCACATGTCTGTTGTAACAACAAACACGTCTTTGCTGGGTAAATAAAAAGCAGTATTATCTCCCAGAGCCCCAAGCGTTTCTTAGGAACCGCTTGGGGCACGAAAGGTCAGCTATTTCTCAATTCCTCACCTTTCTACATCACTTTGTTTGTGCAACTGCTCACTCCCACTCGTGCTTCAGGCCGACATTCCTGAGTTCCGAAGCATCCATGGGCACTGACTGCCAGGATCAAGCCCCCAGCCCGGGAAGAGCTTTGCTATCTCCACTCCACTCCACAGCAGAGATGGAACACACTCAAATCCAAGAGCGACTACCACCAATAGCTGCTGTCTCAGCCCCAAGAACACCCTCTGCCACCGGTTTTTTGTTGTATTTTGGGGTGGGTTAGTGCCAGCCGCCCTCAGCCCAGTTCTGAGGTTCTGGTGCACATCAAAGCTCTCCCTGATGCTTTTCTCACCCCGTTTTGCGGCCCCCCAGCACAGCACTCAGCGGCTCAGTCACGGCTCCATCAGCCCGACGTGCCCGTCACTGACACGGCTGCCAGACGGGACCATTCACCGGGAAAAACAATTATTTACAATAAAAAAAGCAAAGCAGTCGGGCGCGGCAGGACCCGGGGCTTTTAGGGAGCCGCGTTTAAAGCAAAGCAAAACAAAAAGAAAGAATCGAGACCGAAACCACACACAACGCCGGGGGCAGACGCGGCGGCCGCGGCTCCCGCTCGCTCGCCACCCCGCCTCCTCGGACAACACCCGAGAACCCCCGAGCCCCGGTCCCCGGCCGCTCATTCACCCGCTGGCCGCCGGCGCTGGGCTCCCTCGCCGCGGGCTCCGCCGGCACCGGAGCCGCCTGCCCGCCGAGCACCGGCGGCTCGGCGCCCGCCCCGCTCCGCTTCGCCAGCTGATCCTCGGCCGTCGAGTCTACGACGAGGAGGCTGACGGCGCCGGCGGCGGCGCGGATCCGCTCCACCACCTGCTGATGGCTCTCCCGCTCCACGTTCTCGCCGTCCACCTCCAGCAGCCGGTCCCCAGCGCGCAGCCCCGAGCGCTCGGCCGGCGAGCCCGCCTCCACCAGACGGATGAACTGGCCCGGCTTGCCCTTCTCGCCGTGCAGGTGGAAGCCGTAGCCATCCGGGCCGCGCTCCAGGCGGCACAGGCGGGCGGCGGGGCCCGCGCCGCTGCTCATGGCGGGGGAAGCGGCGGCAGCAGCAGCGAGCCCGTCCCGCCGCCCGCGCTCGGCGCACTGCGCGGCAACCCGCCCGCCGCGGGCTTATATAGGGGGGCGGGGCGCGGGGGGTCGGCGGCCGCCAATCGGAGAGCGGGGTGGGCCGATGCCCGCCAAATAAGGACAGTGATGGGCGTGTCTATGTAAATTTTAAAGGCGTGGTTATGCAAATATGGGCGGCTCGGGTGTCCCGGTGTGTTCTGGCCCCGCTCGGGGCGCGGCGCCGCCGGGTCGCGGTGCCTGTCCCGTTCCGTCCCGGACCGCTCCCGTGGGCTCCCCTCGCTCCCCCGTGGTCCGGGCCACTCCCCGGTACCACCCGAGCCCACCGCGCCAGCTCCCGATTCTCGCGGAACGCCCCCCACCGGGGATCGGCGCCGCCGGGTCGCGGTGCCTGCCCCGGGACCGGACCGCTCCCGTGGGCTCCCATCGCCCCACCGTGATCCGGGCCACTCCCCGGTGCCACCCGAGCCCACCGCGCCAACTCCCGATTCTCGCCGAACGCCCCCCCCCGGGGATCGGCTCTGTCCCGGAGACAGCCCCGAGCACGGCCGGAGATCGGCGGGACGCTCCCGGCTGTTCCCGCTCCGCGCCACATCCCGGTGGCCTCTCGGGGGGAACATCCATCCCATACCCTCGCCCAGTCCTTGAAGGCTGCAGTTTGTCCCAGCGCTGCTCCGATGTAGAGGGTGGAGAGATGTTCGGAGTAAAATAAAATCCCTCAATGGAACTGCGCGGGAAAGCAGGCATGGGAGAGGGAAGGAAACTCGCTTTGCAGGGGAAATGAGATACCAGCACTGTTCCCCCAGCTGCCTCTGAACCTGGTTCAGCACCCTAGAGCTGGGGGTCCGAGGTGGAGGAAGATGGAGGGAACTCCAGGGATTTGCTCTGCCCTGGCTCCATGTTCTCTGCTCATGGACTGAGAAGCAGAAGTAGCTGCAGAGAACCAGGAGCATGTGAGACCCTGGGGTTTGGGCTCAGCCAGGGCAGAGCAAGGCAGCAACCACCCTGGGCTGCTCCGGCCATGCCGCAGCGCTGCTGGTGCCAGGCGGGGCTGCCTCCTGGGATTGTCCCTTGAGGGTGGCACAGAGGTGGCTCCCAGTGCAGGGCCTGGCTGAGGTTCCTGGGCAGAGGTCCTCAGGGCAGCCAGGATCACGCTTAACTGAGCTGCAGACAGGCAAGCAAGGAGGGGACAGCTGCATGCCGTGGGACACGTCTCTCCCAAGGCACTCTGCCCCAAAACCCTGCCCAGGGACCTCAGCGGCCGCAGAACCCCCTGTGTGCTCGGGGTGGCCGTGCTCCAGCTCCGTGGGACACAGCTGGGAGCGCAGGGTGGGCTCATTTGTTCCCTCCACTCGGCTGAGCATTCGCCTGTGGCCTCTCAGCGCTGAGAAAAGCGGCGGAGAGGAATCCCACGGCGACAAATGCCTTCGGAGAGGAAAAGCAGGGCAAGCCCCTGGTGTTGTGGTACAGCCCCAGTACGGGGGGCTGTGCCCGTGTCACAGCCGTCCCCTTGGGAAGGGGGCTGTGAGCAGCACAGCCCCACAATGAGCTTTTTGGAAGGGCAGATGCACATTTTGGGTACCCTGCGCTCAGTCAGGAAACAAAACCCAGCTCCAGCAGGGCTGGTTTGAGCATGGGACCGTGATAAGGAGGAAAGGCAACAGCAAAGGAAACGGCTGAAGCTGCTTTTGGGTCCAGCAGTGCCCACAGGATGGCAGGGCACAGGCAGGACCGTGGCACCCCAGGCTGCTCCTCCTGCCCTTTGCATCTTGGAGCGAAGTTAAAGGAGCTCAGGCAGGAGCGGGGAAAGAGAAAAGAGCCAATGTCTGTTTGTGTTGAAGCCATCCAGCATTTTTTTTGCAGACATCAGCCAAGCGGCAGCAGCAATGCCATTGGTGGGAAGACTGAGTTATTTGGGGAATGCTGGACTCCGCACCATGAGAACAGCAGGGGAGGAGGTTGGTTTTAATTTAACAGGCCATGTTTACTCTTCCCCTCTCACCTTTGGTCTGTCTGAAATGTGCAATGAAAGCCCTCCCGGCAGGGAGGAAGGGAGGAAGGGGCCCTGGGTGCTTCCCCCTCCTCAGGGCTGCTCCCAGGGCCCCCGGCCCCGCTGCTCTGCAGCGCCTGTGTGCCGCAGCCTCCCACGTTGCAGACCCAGGGCAGGGATTTCTCACGCAATAAACAATCCGACAGATGCAAAGCCTCAAAAAATGCCCAGCTTTAATCTGTAAACTTGCAAAGAGAGACCCAGGGGCAGAGCAGAGGTGAAGGAGGCACCGGGGCAGGCGAGATGTGAGCAGTCAGGTGCAGGGCCAGGGAAGGTGCAGATGGGGACAGATGTGCTGGACAGTCCCTACGAGCAGTGCCATACCCTGCACAGCTGCTCTCTGCATCAGTGCTTCAGCTACATAACTAAATATTCACCATCTGCCTGCTCTGGGTAGTGCTCAGGGGAATGGACAGTGTGCTTGAGGGAGCAGCAAAGCTGGGCTGAGCACCAGGGATGTCCCTGAGCCCCACCAGTGCCCAACGGAGCAGTGTTTGCTGGCTGAGGGCTCTCGGGCATCTGGGCTCCAGAAAGTGGGTTCCAGCTGCTATTTGCCACTAGCAGGAAGGCAGAGCTGTGTTACATGGACAGTGATGGGAGAGAAAGCCAGCCTGGCCTGCGAGGCAGCAGGGCTGAAGCATCACCCCAGGTAATGCCACCATGAGCATCTCCTGCATGAGGCTGGAGATGGTTCAGTCTGGAGGCATTGAAATGGAAAAGCCTTTTCTTGTTTAAAAAAATAATAAATTCTGTAATTTCTGTGGCTGCAACATGGGGGAAGCAAAGTTTTTCCAAATTGCTGTCTGTACCAGAAGTGCCCCAAGCATTGCTGGGATGCTCCCAGGGGAATTTCACTTCTCACACCAGCTGTGTGGGCAGGGAGCAGGTTTGGCTGGACCCTTCCCCATCCCAGCCCTTCCCTCGAGCATAGCCAGGATACAATGGGGACATCATTGCGTTTGTGGTGGCAGGAGGATAAAAGCCTTTGGCAGCAACTGCAGAAATGAGGAGCCCCAGCTGATTGTGGGCACTGGGGTGTGGGGCAGCCCGGGGGGACAGAGCTGAGGTTCCTTGGAGGGAAGCCAGAGCCTGGCAGCACCAGGGACATGGGCCTGGACCCTTCCAGCTGGACAACAGCAGCACTGTGAGCAGGAATAGCTGCAGGGGAGGACAGGGCTAGGGGCTGCAGGGGGGCTCATCCATGGCACAGCCCCTCCAGCTGCTCCAAGGGTCTCCGTGAGGTGTGTGGCTGTGTCCTGCACCCTGCTCACGTGCTGGAGGTGATGGATCACCATGGCTTGCTGGCCAGGCTGGCAGTCACCACACCATAGTGATTCCCACGGTAGCACACAGGTCGTTGCTCTGCAGGGCAGCAGGATTTGAATCCCAGCACCAGGACAAGGGACTCCTCATGGACTTGGCTCCACTGTGCTGTGCCATCCACCTTGGCTTGTCAGAGCTTGGTTCCCTCCGGTGCTTGAGGGCAGGATTGGGCCCCGCTCTGCTTCCCACCTGGGCCCCCAGGCCTGCCAGCTCCTCTGGGCCACCCTCAGGAGAAGGCACAGCAGCTGGATTTCTTCTTCTGTGCCTCGATGTACTGGTGGATCTGGAAGTGAGGCTCATCCAGCGGCTGCCCCGCGCGCTGCTTCAGCTCCCTAGGGTGGTGGGGCTGTGTTACCCTCTCCCACACTGTGCTGGTGTGTGGGAGGTGGTGGGGCTGCAGGGGACACCTTCCTTGCACAGTCCCCTGGCCCCAGGTACTCACTTGGCAATGGCCAGGAAGGCCAGCTCCACGTTCATGCCTGTCTTGGCACTCGTCTCCATGAAAGGCACTCCATACTCCTGCAAGAGCAGCACCACCCCATCAGTGGCTATCACCAGGATGCCCTCCTGGCCCTCTGGACCATCCCTGTAGCCTGGACAAGGCTTGAGGGTCATCCCCTCCCTGCCTTACCCCAGGATTTGCATGCAAGTGACTGCTGGGCTGGCCTTGCAAGAGCCTGGGCACTCAGAAGGGATGGCACTGCTGCATGGGAGCCCTGAGGGACCTGAAATTCTCTGGGAGGGGCTTAAGTTGGGTTGGACCATGGCACAACTCACCCTGGCCAGTGATGCTCCCTCCTCTGTCCTCACAGCTCTCTCGCTGCTCACATCAGCCTAAGGGGAAGGAAAATGTCACCACACACCTGAGCAGATGGCACCCTGGGGCACCTGGCAAACCAGCGGTGCTGGGTGTCAGGGCTGACAGCAACCAGGGGCAGCATGGATCCAGAAGTATCCACTGCCCAGAGAATCTGGGATCTGTGCAGCATCTGGGACCTGGTGCCATTGGGGACATCAGGGGGCACCTGGGACATGGGGACACTGAGGATGTCAGGGGACACCTGGGACATGGGGACACTGAGGACCTGGAGCAGTACCTGAGGGCATCCAGGACCCAAGGAGGCTCTGGTACCCTGTTGGGCATCATGCAGGATCTAGGGGACATCCAGTCCCAAGGGGAAATCCAGCACCCAGCAGCATCTAGGACCCCTGGGGAGATTCTGGGACCTGTTGGGCCTCTAGAGCTTGGGGTTACCTGAGGTCCAGGGGTGCATCCAGGCCCAGATGGGCATCCCACAGTCAGCAGCATCCCATACCAAAGCATCCCTGGAGCCTCAGCCTCCTGCTGACCCGCTGGCTAGGGACACTGCCCTCCCCTGCCCCAAACCCTGGGAGCACCTCTGGGCTCGGCTGAGCCCGGAAAGAAGCAGAGCCCCGTCCCTGCACAGCCATGGGGATCCAAGGGCACGGCACAGCACACCCCAGGGTGGAGGGGACCCTGCAGGCACCTTATTGCCCAGCAGCATGATGACCACGTCCTTCTGGGCGTACTCGTGGATCTCTGTCAGCCAGGCCTGTGGGGCAGCAGGACTGTGTCGGGGTGAGGGGTACTCCTGTCCCTCCCAACTCAGCCCCCCACCCCTCAGTACCCCCCTCCCTTCCCTCTCAGCCCTCACATCCCCTCAGCACCCCCATCTCTCCCCCACAAGGACAGGGATAATGACTTTTCTTGGCACAGGAATTATTCCAACAACACAAATAAGCAGTCCTGAAAACACCCTGTCTCCTGGCTACAGCCCAAACTGTAGTTCACATCCTTCCCAAACCACGTTTTCTCCCTCAGGCATCCACCGTGTCCTTACACAAAACTCACCCAGCCATGCAGTGCCCAGCCAGGTGCCTGGGATGAGCTCCCAGCTGGCTGGGTCTGCCCAGAACAGCCAGTGTTAGGGGTGAAGCAGGATCCTGACTGCCCCAAGCACCCAGCCAGCCACGCAGGGCACCCACGCAGGGCACCCACGCAGGGCACCCACGCAGGGCACCCACGCCCCCAGCCCCGGGGGAACACTCCCAGCCCACGGTGGGACTCACACGGATGTTGTCAAAGGACATCTTGCTGGTGATATCGTAGAGCAGGAGCAGGGCTGGAGGGGAAGAGGCAGAGGTGTTGCTACACCGCAGGAATGTGCTCTGGATGGTCTCCCCAGCCCTGCTGGTCTCCAAACTCACCTTGGGCATCCCGGTAGTAGGCGTGGGTGACGCTGCGGAAACGCTCCTGTCCTGCTGTGTCCCAGATCTACCAAGAAACTGCCCTGGTGAGAACAGGGAGAGCAACCTCCCCCAGCTGGGTCTGCTCCTGTGGCTCCCAGCCCTGCCGGACCACCACGCTAGGCCTGAGGTGGGTTTCCATCTGGAAATTTCTTCCCCCCTCCCAAAGCTCACCTGCAACTTCACCTTCACACCATCCACGGCCACCACTTTGTTCTGCAGGAGACAAGGAGAGCAGGTTTATCAGCCCAAAGCACGTCCTGGTGCCTGAGCTGGCACTCCCCAGCCCCTCAGCTGCTCTCCCTGGGCCGGTGGGATGAAGCCAGGCTGCCTGTGGGGCTGCACATGGAAACCTCATTGCTACACACCGTGGTCCTGATTGTTTGGCAGCTCCAGGGACATCCCAGAGCAGCAAGCCTCTAGTCAGAGTGAAGAGCAGAATCAGCAGGGAGCAGCCAGCAGGATCCCAGCCTGCCTTGGATCCAGAGCCTCGTTCATCTCCTACAGCCAGAGTCCCTGTCCTCGCCTCCCACATCCCCTAATGAGTCACTTAATGAGGCTGGCTGTCCAGCAAATCCCAGCAACACCGACCTGCTCTGGCTCCTGCTGGGAAACTCTGGGATTGCAGCAGCCCCTGGGGAGTTGCCAGAGCTGCAGAAGTGGGGAGGCATGGAAGGACCACACAAAATTTTGCATTTATTAATAACACCTTGGTGTGCTTTTATGCGTGCTCCCCAAAAAGCCCTGATCTTTCTGATGGAACTCTTCAGCTCCATGTGCTCAGGAACCACTGCTGCACTAAAAACTGAGCTTGTTTGGAGTAATTTAAGGGTTTGGGATGCTACAAATTGCCTGGGCACACTCACTGGGAGATGCTGGGTGTCCTGCTCAGGTTTTCTTGCTGGTAGAGCCTCCTTCTTAAAGGAGGTAGTAAACACTGAGCTGAGGGGCTGCATGTAGCACACAGCTGTATGCAGCACAGCAGGAGGAAATCTCCTGGGTCAGGATGCTTGGCAGCCAGGCTGGGCTGAGACCAGGAAAGGAAAGAGGCATTTCCAACTGAGCTGGGAAGGCAGCTAGTGAGGCTTAAGCAATCACTGTTCTCATCTCAGAAGCGCAGGGGCTTCTCTCCAGAGGCCAGGGAAAAAAGAAAATAAAAAACTACTGAAAAGCTATTTTAAGACTCTTAAAGAACCATACTTGCAGTCTGGAAAGAGAAGACCCCTATAAATAATTTGGTTGCTTGGAATTGTTTGAAATGGAAATTCAGCCCATGTGGTGATGACAGCATCTGAGCAAATGGGCTGGATAAAACAAAAGATGCCCTAGGAGACTCTGGAGATTACCTAGAGCAATGAGCCATGGAGGAGATGCTTGCATGAGGCACAGCAGGCACCTATAGGCTGGCAACACCTCTGGGGACACCAGCATTGACCCCAGCAGTGGGACACAGCAGATTTTCCTTCTTTCATGACTGTATCATAAGGACAGGCCTCATGGCCCCTTCAAACCAAACCCACAGCCATCTCTCTCCCCCACCCCCTGATCACCAAGCCCCCAGCTCCACCAAAAGCCAAAGCTAGGGCAGCAAAAGTGGCAGAGAAGTGGAGCAGCTGCAGCTGTGGGGGCAGAGGAAGCACTGACCACATCTGACACGTGTGGGTGGCTGTGGGCAGAGCCCTGCCCAGGGACACCCCCGTGACTTCCTTCCTGCTCTGCCCTGTGCTGCCACAGCTGTGCCTCCCTGGATGCCCTCAGAGAGAGCCTGCAACTTCAGTTTGCTGAGCAGACAGCAGTGTGGGAGTTTAAACAGAATCTGGTAACCCTAACAACTTCTCAGCAGCCCATTTCAGCCCTTTCAAGGCATGAAATTACAGCAACCAGTGTTTGTCCCCCCCAGCTGTTGGCTTTGCCTGCATGGTGGGGTGCACTGGCTGCCCAGCACACACCCCCAGACCATGAACACAGCTGGGATGGGCTAAACATGGACTGTTTGCTGGTTTAAAGGTAAGAGGAAACAGTACCAGTGAACTCTTCCATCTATTACTGCTCTCCTAGGGAGGGGTGGAAGGGCTCCAGCGAGCACCTGCAGCTGGCTGGGAGATAATGGGGGTAGAGAGGCTGGAAACCCCCGTTCCCCCTGCCCAGCAGCCTGTCCTGGCCAAGGTGCAGGTGGAGGGGGGCGAGGGGCTGGCAGCTGTGGTGGTCTCACCCGGAAATCTATGCCCACGGTGGCAATGAACGTCCCGGAGAGAAAGGCCCCGTCCTTGAACTGCAGCAAGAAGCAGGTTTTGCCCACGCCCGAGTCTCCAAGCAACATCACCTGCAAGATGGGCGCAGGGAGAGATGTCAGCAGGACAGGGAGGGAGCAGCACCCCTGCCTGGTGCTGAGCCCTCCCCAGGTCCTTCTCTCCCTTTCTTTCTTTCTTTCCCCAGGGCTGGTCCTGATGGGTCTGGGTGTGGGATGGGACCCCTGAGGGTGCAGCCAAGCAGTGCCCCAGGACAGCAGGGCAGCCCCCAGCCCCTAAAGAGGGGGAGAGCTGGTGTGAAAGCAAGTAGAGATCTCTCCTAGTCAGCCCCTGGCTGTCTCCCAGCCCAGCAGGCTCCTGAGAACCAGCCACAGCTCCCAAATGAGTGGAGACACCTCTGCCCACGCTTTGCCCCTGACCCGGGTGTGCCCAGCCCCAGGGCTGATGCATGGCTTGGGCAAACCCTGCGTGTCCGGGACTCTCTCCCTGTCAGTGCCTGCTGCAGACACCAGAGCAAACACGGTGCTTTCCCCTCCTGCTAAGCAAACAGGATCAGCCCAGGCTCTCCAGCACTGCCAGACTCGGGCAGGGAGCAGCCAAGACCAATGCTGGGCTCCATAAGCACTGCCTTTCCTGCTGCTGTGTTCCTTCTGCCTACCTGCAGCAACCTGTTCCTGCCCAGCAATCATTAACCTGACTGCATCATTTTTTACCCTTATGAAAAATAGCAGCGAGCAGGACTTCAGCAGGAAGGTCCATCCCTACATGCTCAGCTGACAGGATGCTGGAGCTTGTAAAATAAATCTCTGCAGCCCTGGGGCAGGCAAACACAGTGGCCCATGGCCACCTTCCACAGGGATGGCACAGCAAATGCCAAAGCTGGTGCCTGGAAATGTTCTGCCTCCTGTGACCACTTTGCTGGTGAAATCCTTCCCCAGGGCTTGTGGGGAGCTGGGAACACTGCTCAGTTCTGCCTCCACCTCACTCTAGACCAAGCTGAAAACTGGTTTTCTCCCTCAAACATGGAAATTTCCCTCCATGAAGAGGAGTCAGAGAGGGGAGGATAAAGGCAAAGGAATAAAAGCAGTTTAGAGAAGGTGGCAGTGTGCAGGACCACTTTGGAACCGGCTCAGGGAGGCAGCAGGGGGAGTCAGGGCTGACACCTTCAGTGCTGGGCTCAGCCTGGGGCTGTATATTAAATTTTGGGGGTAAAAGTTTCATCAGCCCCGTGCCTCCCCTGAGCTGCTCAGATGAGGAAGGTGCTCCTGGGGCAGCCCTTGCCTGGGCTGGGGTGGGGAAGGAGGGCTCCCCCCTGCCCCACGGCCTGGCAGGGGTGCAGAGACATTGCCATGCTGTGGTGTGGGTGAAGGGGCGCCCCGGGCTGGATCCGGGGCTCAAGTTCTGTTCCCACCTCGGAGCCCTTGGGGTGTTGTGATGGCCTGGATGGGGTCCTGCTCTGAGGGGCTTCCAGGGGCAGAGTTTGGCCATGCTTCTCTCCTTTGGGAACCCCCAAAAGTGCCGTTCCTGCAGCTGGTCCCTCCTAGTGCCACTGCTGGGCAGGGAGGCCCCCGGGGCACAGGCGGCACCCTCGGGGCAGGGATGGCTCCTTCTCCACCTTCCGGGGAGGGAAAACCCCAATTTCTGCCCTGCTGCATCCGGGGCAGAGCAGGGCTGGGGGGACCAGCCGGGGCCGCCGCCCCCTTCGCCTTCTTCCCCGTTTCGCCGCCGCTTCCCGGGATCGGGACCCTTCCTCAACCCCTCCGGGTCTGCCCCAAGCCGGGGAGCGACCCCAGACCTTCCCCCCGGCAGAGCTCGGGGGCTCCATCCCCGCTCGCCCCGCGCCGCCTCCCACCTTGACGGGCAGTTCGGAATCCCGGGGCAGCGCCGGGGGGTCCCCGCTGCTCTTTGGGGGATCCCCGCTGCTCCTCGGGGCATCCCCGCTGCTCCTCGGGGGATCCCCGCTGCTCCTCGGGGCATCCCCGCTGCTCCTCGGGGCATCCCCGCTGCTCCTCGGGGCATCCCCGCTGCTCCTCGGGGTTTCCCCGCTGCTCCTCGGGGCATCCCCGCTGCTCCTCGGGGTATCCCCGCTGCTCCTCGGGGCATCCCCGCTGCTCCTCGGGGTTTCCCCGTTCCCCTCCGGGCTCTCGCTCCCCGCTGCCCCATCGGGGCCGCCCATGGTGCGCTCCGAGCGGAGCCGCCGAGTCCCGGTGCCTGCGGGAGCCGCGGCCCCACCCGGCTTCCTCCTCCTCCTCTTCCTCCTCCTCCTCCTCCTCCCCGGCCGATGCCACCCCCGGGACCGTGCCCGGCCGCCTCCCTGCCCAGCCCGGGCACGGGATGAGGAGGAAGAGGCTGAAGAGTGGAAAGCTGCCCGCCCCACGGGTGCCGGGCTTTGCTGGCGGCTCCGGACACTCGGGCGGGGAGAGGAGGAGCTGCTCCCCCGCAAATGAGCAGGCACCTCGTCCCCCCCAGAATGTGGGGATGGTCTCCATCCTCGTCCCCCCCGGTGCTACCAAATCCCACCCTGCCACACCGGGACACTGGGAATGGCAGCTCCCAGTCCCACCCCACCAGCCCAGCCCAGGGTGGGGGTTTGCCCCGTCTGCCGAGCCGGCACCTCCATCTCACCCGGGATGTCTGCCAGGCCTCCCGCTCCCCCCGCAGCCCCCTGCGTCCTACACCAGTCTTTGGGGCCCAGCTCATACTGTACTTCATTCAGGAAAAGCCCAAGCGTGGGGATGTGGGAGAAATCCCTGGAGATGGATGTTGTGTTACCCAAAATCCCACCCCGTAAAAACCCATACAAGTCCATGCACTACAGCTGGTCAAGGTTTCAGCCTTACAGGCATCACTTCATGTATAGGAGCCTTGAGCCCTTCCTGAGCCATTTTCCCTGGAACATTTTATCATCTCATCTCATCTCATCTCATCTCATCTCATCTCATCTCATCTCATCTCATCTCATCTCATCTCACTCACCTCACTCTCCCCCATCAGGGCTAATCTCAGGGCAGCCCCATCCCTGCTCACACCGCTGGGATTCAGGGATGCAGGGCTCCAGTGCTGTGCCCCTTGCTGCTCTCTGGGTAAAGGCCACACGTGCCCACAGGAGGTCCAGTGGCAGAGATGCCCTCTGGAATGCCATCCACCTCCACACCTTCTGGGGCTGCTGGCCCCTGCCCCAGCCCGGGAAATAGAACCTGTATTTCCAGTCCTGTAACTGCGCTCAGACCCAGCTGGGGGATTTAGAGTTTATAGGTGCTCTTTGGCCAGGAAAGTGCCCACAGCTGGAGGCACTTGGAGCTCCTGGAAGTGGCTGAGCTTCTCTGCAGCAAGATGGGGAGGGGGCTGGAAGCATATGGAAAACCATGCTCATGGAGTAGGCTGGGCAGGAAAAACACCTGGCTGAGCATCACTTCCACACAATGGCATTTGCCGGGGGAGAAACGAGGCAGCTGGAAGCTGGCAGAGATCAGTGGTGTGCCTGAGCCTCCTCTGTCTGCCCACAGCCCCTCAGCAGGGGCACCCTTGGCTGCTGGTCCCTGGGCTGCTTGGCCCCAGACCATCCCTGCTGGTGCCACATTTTTCTGCTTCCTTGGCTTGGACTAAAAAGAAAATTCCTGTGGGTATTCACATCCCCATAGGTAACAGGTCCCAAGCACTGTCCCTGTGCTGAGCTTGCCCAGGAGAGGGGACACACACATCAGAGCCACTTGAGACCCCACGGCAGCTCTGCAAATAGCTCTGGATGGCAGCCGAGTGCTTTTCCCAGGCACTGTCACCATCTGCCTGACTTTTTGCCAGGGCCCCAGGCTGGACACGGGCAGGACACAGGCTGGCATCTCCCTGGCAGAGCAGGGCAGCTCCAAAGGCAGCTTTCTGTGTGTGAAGGCTGCACTCAGACACGGCCCCACCAAGGGATTTGGAATATGGGGCTTTATCCATCCTTCATCCCTCCCAGCAGTCCAAAGTATGCCAAGAAGCACAATGCCAAAACAAAGTCCTCATCCAGCAGCACCAAAGCAAAGAATCCAATTCTTTGTGCTTACCACAGATGCACAGATTGTGATTCCCCAAATAAAGCTGCTCCCCAAGGGTGAGTGCACAGCCCAGGGACCAAGGGCTGGGCTCTTACCGTAAACCCAATGCCCACGGTGGCAGAGAAGGAGCCAGGAATGAACTTGCCCTGGTCAAACTGGACCAGCAGTGATGTTTTCCCCACGCCACTGTCTCCAACCAGGATTGTCTGCAAGGACCAGATAAAGAGGCATCAGTGCAGGTGCAGGTGATGGGGGAGCTGGGGGTCAGATATTTGGGTAGGTGTGCTGGGGGAATGTGGCAGCAAATGCAGCAGGATCAAGAAGGACCCACCCAGCCCCTGGGTCTGACACGTTTGGTTCTGCCACTTGCCCAGAGTGGAGTTTGCACCCCTTTGTCCATCTCTGTAATTAATAAAATGTTCTCTGGGATGAGCTTCAGGCCTGAAACCCACTGCACCCTGTCCAAGAGAGCGGAGATGGGAGGGAAAGTAAAGCACAGTGATGGAGAGTGAGCAGGAGAGAAGCTCCTACCCCAACTCAGGAAGCTGCCGGGCAGAAGCAGCCTTGGCTCACACAGGCCTGCTGGAAAACCTCTTTGGGAGGACTTTGGAGTCACTGGTTTAAGTCCAAAGCTGTTTAGTAAAGAGAGCATCTCCTGCAGCTGCTGCACACAGCTGCTGCCACAGCCAAGCAGCCCCGCCGGGTCACTGGGCTGACTTTGTGCTGCCCTTGTGTCATGGACCCACAGCACTCCCTCCTGGCAAAGTGATGGCTTTGAAGTCATGAGTTCTCCTGCCTCTCCAGCCTCCGGGGGAAGCTCCAGAGCGCTCCCATCGCTGAGCAGAAGGGATGAGGGAGCTGTGCCGGTGGGTGCCAGAGCTGCCACCTCTTGAGCAGCTCCCACACTGCCAGCCCATGGCCCTGGTACCCACCTGCACTCCTGGGGAGCTCATCTTCCCTTCTGCTCTACCTGTGTCCCTCAAAATCCCTGACCTAAGGGAGACCTGCAGTGCAAACAGAACCCCTCCCTTCCCTCTGCTGTACCTGGGTTTTGTTCACAGAGACACTGGCAAACATTCCCATCCTTTCAGGAAACCCTTTTGCAGGACACAAACTAAAATAAATACTCTGCTACCAGTCTTCTTGCTTAGAAGTGGTTTGGGCTTTGTCTTTCAGGACAGGGGTGTTCCTGAAGCTGCAGTTGTGGCAAACATGGAATGTCCCCTCTGTTACTGGTCCCTGGCAGCGAGGTGCTGGGACTAAAGCTCCCCACTCTCTGCATCCACCTCTGCTGCACTTGGCTGCATCTGTTTTACCCCTCCTTGCTTTGTGCTTGTGCAGCTCCAGCAGCTTCACTCCATCCTGCAACACCTCCATCCTTTGCCTCCAGCCTGAAGGTGCCTCAGGACCTCCCCAGTATGCAGGGGAGCCTCTGTGCACATCTGGTCCTGGGGTGTGCCCAATCCTGCCACTACTTCAGGCACTGCACTTCCCCTTGTAAAACACAGCAGCAGTGTGAAGGAATGTGTTTCATCAATGCCTGAACAGCCCCAGCAGATCAAGGCCTGATTCCATACACTGGGATACTACGTGGGATTCACAGCACTTGGTCCCAGGGTTCCTGCACCTCACAGATCCCAAAGAAGTGGCCTGAAACCAAAAGCCAAGGAGCCTGAGGACCACAAGCAATGCAGAGATGTGGACTGGCAGGAAATCAGCGTCCTGCCTTGTGTAAAGCACCACCCCCCAAACTGCCTGTTCCCACCCATACACATCAGTGAGTGCCTCCTCAGTGAATCAGCCCTTTCCCCTGGAGAGCACATCCCAACACTGACCTGGCCTGGGAAAACCTGACCTGCTGAGCAGAGCTGTTGGCAGGAGGGAACCCTGCACCTCTGCCAGATGCACACTGCTGGGCAGCCCTGTGTGCTGAGAGAACACAGCCTGTGCCCAGATCCAGCCAGAGATTTCTCCCTCCTCCTGCCTGGGCTGCTTGCAGGTCACTTGTGCATTCAGAGCAGCTGCATGAGCTGGGAGCTTGCATGGGATCTTAGGGAATGTGGGAGGAGGAAATCTCTGGGCCAGAGGATCTGGTTCACTCCTTTCCTGGGGGAGATTTCCCTGCCCAAACCCCCCTTGGCTCTTCCCTGGGGCCCAGACCTCTTCCCTGTGCAGAGAGGATATGCCCAGGAGCAGCTGGATAGGAAAGCACTCCAAGAATTCATTACCATGGGGCTCCTGCACCTCAGTGCTGTATAATTTGGTGTTGCATACTATTTCCAGGGAAAATACTGATGCTGGGATGTGCAACAAGGCTGGGTGCACCCTGCAGTGCTGTCTTTGGGAGCAGTTAATGCAGAGAACAGCATTAATTATGGAGGGAGAAGAGCTGGTTGGAATGAGCAACAGAAAGCCTGCAGAGCCAAGGGTTTACATGTACAAAAGGCAGATTCCTCTATTAATAATTTAAATGGGATTCATAATAGAGACAACTCATGAATTGCTTCATGACTTAATAATAACAGTAGGTTTTGGCCTGGATCAGCCAAGAGATATTCCTAATGACTCTAGGCAAAGCTCATGGGCTCTGTGGAGAGAGCACAGTATAAATCACTGTAGCCTTCCTGCTCACCAAATAAACAAAAAATAAGAACAAAAAACCCACTGCAGGGAAGATGTGGCTTATTAGCCCTTGAAATCTCAGTCTGAACAGGACTGAGTCATGACAGTAAAAAGTCTCCCAGAGATGAAGTTCCATGGCTGTCCTGACTCTTCCCCCATTCTCAGCCACAGACAGACCTACCCCACACCTTCTCATCCCCCCAGGTTTTCCCAGTTTGGTTTGTTTGGTTTTGGGTTTTGTTTGTTTGTTTTTGTTATGGTTTTTGTGGTTGGTTGTTTTTGGTTTGGTTTGGTTTGGATTTTTTTGGGGGTGAGTTTGGTTTGGGTTTTTTTGGTTTGTTTGGTTTTTTTGGGTTTTTGGGGTTTTTTTTGTTTTTTTTTTTTTTAATGGAAAACAAGTAAAATGTTGCACTATTCCCCCTGCTCCAAGCATTTCTGCAGGGATGGAGTTGGATGATGCTGGAAGATGCTCTGTGCCACAGGGACAGCTCAGGGCTGTCCCCACCTGCCCAGACACTATTTCACCATGGCCAGGGCACTTATACCAGCTTGAGAGGCAGCCTGGAGCCCCCTGCCTGCCTGGCTGGGCCCTTGCCTTGGCACAGGCTGCACCTCAGCCCTGCAGACGTGAGCTCTCGGGCTGTGCATCAAACAAAACCTGGCTCAGATCATGCAGGAGATCCCTGTTTGCAACCCCCTGTTAACACCTTGGATCAACCACAGACAAGGAACACATCCCTCTGCCTTTGGGTCTTGATCCAGCTCAATGGATCCAGGAATCACAGAGGAGGCAGAATGATTTGGCAATGGGTCAAACCACCTGAGAGCAGAATTCATCATTTTGTATCAAGCAAAACTATTCTGGAACAGCCCAGAATAAACCTCTGCTGTTCCTGCTTTGGTTAGCTCCTGGCCCATTTCCTCCCCAGGCCTGGGTTTAGCCAGCAACCAGAAATAATTTAATCCTTGTCTCCAGACTGCAAAGCTCTCTTGAGGTTTTTCAACACATCTGAAATGTGATTGCTTGCTCAGACACAAGATCTAGTGAGGTATTTGCTGCCTCACTTCCCTGGAATGAAAGCAGCCTTGTTTCTGCAAGACAAGCAGCCCAGCCAGGAAAGGCAGAGGAATACCAAGGGAGACAGCAGGGAACATGGGACTGGAATGGTTTTTTGCCTGGGCAGGTCTTCTGCCCAGAGCCTCATTTCCACCACTGCAATTCCTTAACTGCTGCAGCTGCTTCCTGGAGAGGAGAGAGTTAAAGCTTTGCAAAGAATCAAAGTTTCTCAAGTCATCCCTGGGGGCATGTTCTACGTATTCCATGTACAACAGAAATGAGAGCTGCTAGTAATTGATATTTTTTCTACTAATCAAGGGCTGGGCACCTTTCCCTGAGTACAGCAGGATACAGATCAGACTGGGATTTGTGAAGAGGGATCCGCAGAACCCCATCCCTGATTTTCCCGAGGGTGCCAGTTCCTGCACAGTCACTGGAGACTGCAGGAATGCAGTGCGAGGACAGCAGGAAGGAGTGATGGGTGGATCTGTGATAAATCAGCATCTCCTCCATCACTCCAGGAGTTGCAGGGCAGCGCCTGACTGCAGAGAGCAAAATCGCTGCTGCTGCTGTCCCCGCAGCAAAGCTGGAGCGCCCCAGTTTGTCAGGGACACCACCAGTCCTGACCACCCTCCGTGCAACCGCAGTACAAAACACAGCCCCAGGAACACGCAAAAAGAGCATTTCAAAGCAGCGAGGGCAGGAACGGACGTCTCTGGGACACGGCTATTTCATGGCAGGGAAGTCCCGGCTCATTAATCTGCTTCTGGCAAAAAGAGCCGCGGGGTTCAGCTGCTCCCGACCAGCTGTCCTGGCTTCCCAAACACGCCGAATCCTGCCACCCCCTGCCCACCATCAGCCGGGATGTGGCGGGACCGGGGCCAACCCCTGCGGGCTGCCCATCCCCGCAGCGGGGAGAGAGCTGCCGCCGCACCGGGATGAGGATGAGAGACGGAGCGCGCACCGGGAGACGAGGAGCGAGGAAGGCAGAGGGACGGAATTTGTCGGGAAGTTCAAGCGGGAGCTCTGCCCCTTCTACCCCCTCTGCAGCCCGCTCCCGGGTGCCCCCATCCTGATCCCCATCCCCATCCCCATCCCATCCCCATCCCCATCCCCATCCCATCCCCATCCCCATCCCCATCCCCACCTTGTGCAGCAGTGCCTCGTTGTAGCCGTCCCCCCTCGGGCCGGTGACGGGGGTCTCCATGCCCGGGGGGGTTTGGGGGTGCCCGGTTCGGCCCTGAAGCACCGCGGACAGCGCCGGTCCCGCTCAGCACCGCGGGCAGCGCCCGCCCCGCCCGGGACCGCCCAGCCCGGCCCGGTTCGGCCCCGTGCGGCACCGCAGGACAGCGGCGCTCGGTGCTCGGTGCTCGGGGCTCGGGGCTCGGTGCCCGGTGATCGATGCTCGGAGTTCGGTGCTCGGGGTTTGTTTCTCGGTGCTCGGTGCTCGGGGGTCGGTGCTCGGGGGTCGGTGCTCGGGGCTCGGGGGTCGGTGCTCGGGGGTCGGTGCTCGGGGCTCGGGGGTCGGTGCTCGGGGGTCGGTGCTCGGTGCTCGGGGGTCGGTGCTCGGGGCTCGGTGATCGGTGCTCGGTGCTCGGAGTTCGGTGCTCGGGGTTTGTTTCTCGGTGCTCGGTGCTCTGTGCTCGGTGCTCGGTGCTCGGGGGTCGGTGCTCGGGGGTCGGTGCTCGGTGCCGCCGCCCGCAGGAGGCAGCGGCCGGTCCCGCCCGGGGGCGGGGAGGCGCTCGGAGCTCCCCCCACACCGGCAGAGCCCTCCGGGCACAGCTCCGGTCCTTGCCCACCTCCCCTCCCCATCTCTGCCCCGCCCCAGAGCCCCTCGGCTCGCACAGCCCGCTTTACCCCGACAGGTCCACTTTGGGATTCCACTTTACAGAGCCCAGTTAGGACTCTGCTTAGAGTAAAAAAATTGTTATTAGAAACAGGATGAAGCTGTGCCTAAACCTGAAGGGGACAGTTAATATCTTGTTGAGATCCTTTTCTTTACAACTCCCTTTAGAGCAATCTCATGTTGTTGATTGCACTGGAAATAAATTAATCTTTACTCAGAAGTTTATTTAAGACAGACTCGATTCAGTCTCCAATTCCCTCCTTCCAGAGCAGCAGATGGCCTCAAGCCAGAGGAACAGACCATGGTTCCAAGAGCCATCTGCACCCATCCCATTGCTGTTTGACTGTCTGGGCCTGACATTGCTAATTATATCTGCCCATTATTTCTTCTGACTGCAGAGATGGTTCTGCTGGGTCAGATGATTGGACTCAGAAACAATAGCCAGAAAAAAAAATTAAAACCTGATAAGGACAGTGGCGTTCAGGCTTGCCTGAGGCTAAAAAGCCCAACCCAACCCAGACCATCCTGCAGCCAGACCATGGCCTCATGCACTGGAACACAGTCAACAGCACAAAAGCAAATGATATCACAAGCCCTGGTGTCTGGATCAGAAAATAAACAAGTGGTCAGCATAGTGCACACACCCCACAGCAGGCAGGGCCAAGAGGAGAGCAGCAAACCTCAGGGGGGCTTCAACAAAGCCAGGGCAACTCTTAAATACACCAAGAACTTGTCAAAACTCCCAAACTCCCACGGATGTCAGCACAATCCTTCCTGGAGATGCCCCAGTGCATGCTCAGCCTTCTCCTACCCCAGAGCAGGGTACTGCCTGCCCCAAGCTGTCTGCTGGGCCCCACAGCCCCCAGAGACCCAGATCCGCTGCAGGGACTGCACAGCTCTGCCCTTGGCACCAAACTGGGCAGCCACTCACACAAAGCTCTCCTGGAAGGTGGGGGTGAAGAGAACGTAAGCCCCCAACCCCTCACTAGGTCTGAGGCTCCAGGTCTGCTTATCCCTGGGTGGGAATTTGTGGCAGGTCCCTGTTGCAGGAGAAGCTCTGGGGCTCGGAGAGCATTCTCTGGCTTTTTTGCTCCAGCAACATTTGTTAACTACCCTGAGTCACAAAGGAGAGCAGGGAGGGACTGAAGAGCTTTGCAGAGCCAAGTTGTCCATTCCCTCTGCAGGCACTGGCGTTGCACCAGAGACTCACTCAGCCCTGCAGGTTTAACCTCACTCAGAGGGAAAACAATTCTCCTGTCTATCATGGTATCTCCAAATGTAGTGCAGCCTAATGAGACAATACAAATTGCTGGCAAAACACGGGCAGCAGCACACCCTGGCCCTGCTCCAAGGCCTTTATCTCACTTTACTAAGCTGGAGCACCTGCCCCATTGAAGATAAGTGATAGCAGCAGCTTTATCAGAGCCCAGAATCCCAACACTGCATCCCTGCCTCCCTTCATACACCAAGGAATGCATTTCCCCACCACCCAGAGCAAACCACTTGCTCCACCAGCCTCCCCCAGACCCCCGAGCAAGTGCTGACCAGCTGAAATCAATGCAGAGCAATGAAATCAGAGGAAATTACCTGTAAATTGAAGTGATTCCAAATAAACCTGAAACCTAGATCCATTGTTTGGTGTGTTTGCTCACAGACTTTATCTCTGGTAGCTTAATTACTTGTGTATTTGCCTTGAGAAGTACAGCTCTAACAGTGGAAGACTTAAATACAGCTCAGGAGTTTCTGCTTCACTGTCCTCCTGGCCTGCTCCTGCTTGTTCTCTGCTGCCCAACCCCATTAACTGCTGTAGTATCTCCCTGGATTGCCTGTACAAAACATCTGGGGGAAACTGGAGCCTTGCTGAACTCATTCCTTCCCCATGAGCTAGGAAGGAATCAGAATTTCATCCTCTGCATCCACCGAGTATGGATTCTTAATTTCTTTGCATTAAATAACCCCTACCTTGGCCCTTTCTGGGTAAGTCCAGCCCCAGGTGGAGTCCTGAGCAAATCCTCCACCACAACAAATTCGGTGAGTATGTTTTGCCACTTTTACTGGCTTTGCTGAATCAGGAGATCTGGGAATGATCCAGATTTATCTTGGGTATCTGAGGTGGCAGCAGAAAGGAGAGATCAGACAGTGCCTGCTCAATCAGCCAGCACTAAAGGAGCTACAATATAATACTCAGCCTTATCTCCTAAGGACAATTTCACCAAACTTGCAAAATCTGCATGTGAAGAACAGACTGAAACGACCTGATTATTTTTCAAAGGCCCTAGATGAAATAACAGAACTGGGGATTGGAAATATCATTGAAGTCCAGGGAAGACAGGACGCTGGAAAGTCTCAGCTGTGGTGGTGGGTGATACAGTGGGATGAGAACTGGGGAAGATCTGTTCTTGCTGGGCCCTGAACCAAGGAGATGCACGCTCTGATTGATTCAATTACTGCCTGTCTCAGCAAGGCTTTGAGGCTTTTCCTTAGGACCAACCGCACAGAGTAAACCCAGATTCATGATCTTGCAGAACGGGAGCAAAAGCAGCGTCTGATGGCGTGGGGCAGGGTCCTGTTGCTGCAGGGAAGGGACTGGGAGCGCTGCCAGGGGCAGGCAGGGGCTGCAGGGCACGGGTGCCAGCTGATCCCAGCCCCTGTGCCGTGCCCACAGCACATCCCGGGGCTCTGACACACTTTGCTCGCTCCAGCCCCGCACCCAGCACAGACCAAAAGGCAAATGGATGTGCTCCTGTCAGGGTGCATTAGCGGGATTCCTCAGAAGCATTCCAGCAGTGCTGCTTCTCTCACAGAGCAGCCTTGCCCTGTGCTGCTCGAGCCTCTTTCTGCCCAAAGAGAGGTCTTGGCCTGCAGGATCCTGCCCCAGCCCCCCCGAAATGCTGGTTCAGAGCAGAGTGCCTTCCCCTGCCCTGTGCAGGGGCTGTGTTTGTCCATTCCCACCGGGCTTCTGGAGCACCTCAGCACCCGTGCCATGGCTGGAGGGTCTCTGCAGGGCTCTCCCCACTTGAGACAGAGTGATTCCTCATCACACTCTGTTGTACAGATTTATCCCTGAATTGATCTACTTCCTTTCTGGTTTCGCCTTCCAACTGACTCTCACTTTAACTGGAATAAACATCGCAGATCCTCCTGTGACAGACTTCTGCGTCAGCACTCTGGGGTTCCTCATTCCTGCCTGCCCTCATCTTGACCTTCTGCTCCAGGAGGACGTTCACACCCTGCTGTTTGTCTGGGGCTGGAGCCATCCCCTTTGCAAACCCCTCATTGCCAGCGTCCCGCTCAGCCAGGGCCCCTTCACACAGCAGGTGAGAGGAGAAGGATCAGAGTAAAACCCCGTGTGGGAGTGGCAGTGCTGATGTGTGGCTGTAAATCATCGCTGTATCCTCAGGGGAGGGAAGGAGATCTTCCACTGACATGGAGGAACCTGCTGCATTTTGACCTTTTCCTGGGACCGTAGTGACTATTTCAGAGAAAAAACAGAGTGTCATGGAACACCCCAGGGTGAGTCATGAGTGTTGGGTGAAGTGGGGGAAGTAACTCTCTTAAAAAGAAGACATCCAGGGTCTCTGTGTTAGCACTGCCTGAAGAAGTGTCAGGAGAAAACAGCTTGGAAAACTCTTAGGACATCCATGTGTATGTGGGCCTGGCTTCATCCTGAAGGATTTTTTGTGAAAAAACCACAGAGAAAATTCCACCTCAGGAGCAAGAAGCTGGAAAATGAGGATTTTCTTGTTTTGGACCCTTTTCCTCATGACAGCCACGAGCACAGGTCAGGTAAATCTATATCAGGGGTTCTGACAGAGCTGTGGAGAGGCTGGGGCCCAGGCAGACCAGGGAGCTCACTGTGGTCATGGCAAAAGTCCAGCTGATAACAAACCTTTCCTTTGGCAGTTACAGAGTGTGATCTCTGAGATTTGCTTGTTCCCTGCCGTGTGAACCCTGGGAATAAGGCTTTTCATTCTCTCACTAACACACAGCCTTGGTGGGGGCTCTTTTCTTAAGGACTGCTGACATCTCACCTCCCCACTGCTCACCAGCATAGTGGGTGCACAGGCACAGCCTCCCTCGGGCTGTACCCCCAAGAAACCTGGGCTCAGCTCCTTCTGAGGCAATGCCAGAAGAGGTTTACAGCTTCTGTCTCTGTCCCCTGCAGGTGGCTGGGCAGTGAGAGGCCCCAGGCAGGTGACAGTGGGGCAGGGCAGCTCCCTGACAGTGTCCTGCAGCTACAAGCCACGCTACAAGCTCAACTCCAAGTACTGGTGCCGCAAAAACTTCCCCTGGTTTTGCTTGACCTACATCATCCAAACCGATGGCTCCGAGGGGACAGTGACACGGGACAGGGTGTCCATCAGGGACAACCACACAGCCAATTCATTCACAGTGACACTGAGCAGTGTCACACCAGGGGATGCAGGCCGGTACTCCTGTGGGGTGAGGAAGAATGTGGGGACCAGGCGATGGCACAACACCAAGGTGATGGTGTCTGCAGGTAAAACAGGGCTGGGAGCAAAGCTGGCATTAAACTTCCCTTTTTCCTCTTCCCCCCTGCAGTGCTCAGGGCATTGCCTGGATAACTCCACCTTCATTGCTGAAGTCTCAGGGATAGAGACTCCTGTGCAGGGTACAGGACAGGGGGTGTGGGGGTCCCCACTTGGTTCTGACTCTGTTTTCTCTGACAGCTGTTTCAAACACAACTGAGGACAGCAACGTGAGCCCATTGACCACCAAGCCTCTGTGCCCCGGGGGCTGTGGGGAGCCTGCAGTGTGGTGAGTCAGGGCTTGGGATCCAGGCAAGTCCCCAAAATCATCCCCTGGCCAAACCCTTAATTTCCCACGCATGTATCTCCTAGCTTTGATCCCCAAGGAGCATCCTGGGGACAAGCAGGACAGCTGGCAGACACGCAAGTGCCCCGCTCCCCATCCTCATTCCCCAGACCCTCCTAAAGCTCTAGCATAACCTCCTTTCTCCTACACAGGTCCCAGCTCAGTGTCATCCCCTTGCTGCTTCTGCTCAGCATCAAGATGCCCATGGCACTAGCTGTGGTTTGTAGGGCAGCCTGGGTGAGGAGCCAGAGCAGGAGCCGGGACTAGGAAAACCTGCAGATCTTGGACTCATGCAGCAGCACCAGGGGCTGCCACTTGTCCCAGCCACCTCCGAGCCCCAGGGACGCCCTCCTGCCCCCCTGGCCCCCACCCTGCCGGGGCCACGCCACCCCTCACGGCCACCCCTTGCCAGGAGGTGCCTGGAAAGCCTCAGCCCCTCCTGGCAGCCCCTGTGCTGGAGAGGGAAGGGTTTGGGGTGCAGGGAGCCTGTGTCTGTTGAGCTGCAGCTGCCAACAGGAGACAATTTTGCAATAAAGGCTGGGTATCCTGCAGGGCCTTGTCTGCTTGTCTGTCTGTCTGTCTGTCTGTCTGCTCCTTCCTTCAGCTGCCAGCACTGCCCGGGATGCCCGTGGCAGCCAGTGCTGATGCACAGACCTGTGTGGGGACATGCTGCACTCTGGCTGTGGGGGGACATGGGGTCACAGGGGCAGGGCAGGCTCCACCATGGCCCAGCTGACCTTCTTCATGGGGAGAGGAGCCCTTAGCCCCAGGAGCCTCAGCCCTGCCACCTCTGCCTGGTCCACCAAATGCTCATCTCCAGCTTAGCAATAGCCAGGGGAGGGTGTCCTTCCACAATTCTGCCTCCACTCAGCAACTACAGGGAGTGGGGACACAGGGGGAGGCCTGGAGCAACCTGAGCAGAGCATGGGGCTCATGAGCCACAGAGGGGCTGTGCTGGCAGGAGAAGTGGGTGCTCCTGTCCAGCTGCACCAGGATAAGGGGCTGTGGTTACACATTTCATTCCCTTGGGAAGGACAGGGGGCCATGCTGGAGCACTGCCCAGCCTGGAGGATTGTCTGGGGTTCAGGTGGTCCCTGTGCCATGCTGAGCTACCTCTCTCCTGGCTGCCCTGCCTGGCCAGAGAGGCTGAGCAGTGTGGCAGTGAGAGGCAGGTTGAGTCCTGACATGGGGGCCAGGCTGCAGGAAGAAAGGAGAGACTCTGGAGGAGGGCACAGGGGACAGTGCACAGCGAGTAATCTCAGTGACCAGGAGGAGCCGAAACTCTAGGAAACGGGCAACGCCACAGTCTTGCTGAATCTCCAGCAGCAAGAGACAGTAGCAGAGGCAAGAGAGGAAGCAAAGCCCCAAAGACCAAGTGAAGATGAGCAGCAGGGCTGCTGATGCTCTCGCTGGTGCTGGCCTCGGCGCTGCTGCCAGGTAGGGCTGAGCGGATCCAGGAGCAGCGGGAGGTGTTCGGGCAGCCGCAGACTCCGGGCACCGTGCAGGGGGTCCTGAGGGAAGCCCGGTCGGTCACCTGCACGTGGAGCCTGGCCGGGAGAGGTTACCGGAATCCTGTGGCAAACCGAGTACACGTACTGGTATTACCCGTGCCACTGACACGGTCAGCGCCTGAAATCACAGCCCGAGGTCTGGTATTACCCGTGCCACTGACACGGTCAGCGCCTGAAATCACAGCCCGAGGGGCGGCAGGGCCGCTCTCCATTCTGAGTATTTCGTGCTCCGGGCATTCAGGGTGACTGCGGAGCGTCCGGCCAAGGAGGATGCAGGCACGCTCCACTGTGGGGTGCAGAAGGGATTTTCCCCTTTACATGAGACTAACGGGGAAATGTGGAGGCCATCATAACCCCAGGTCGGTCCTTGCACATTTTGCCCATAGCGACAGTGACCCCCACGTTGGTGGGCCCAGACTGCGGGAGGAGGTTTCACCCCGAGGTGCCAGGAGCACGGGGCCGGTCTGGAAGCCGCTGCATCCATCCTTGCTCCTCAGGAGCCCGGCAGCACTTTCCGCTACTTGGCGGTGCTGGCCGGGCTGCGGCTGCCGGCGCTGCCGCCGTGAGGGCGGCCGTGGCCCGGCCCAGCCGCTCGGCCCCGACCGCTCCGGCACGCCGGGGCTCAGCGCGGGGCCGCTCCCGGCTACTCCCGGCGGAGCTCGGCCCGGCCCGGGGCCGCCCCTACGACTCGGGCACCCCGTGAGGGCGGAGCGGGGCCGCCCAGGATATGGGGGGAGGGAGGGCGGCAGCGTTGGGTGGAGCGGGAAGAGCCCGGCGGGGCCCCGCGGCTCCGCCCTCACGGGGTGCCCGAGCCGTAGGGGCGGCCCAGGACCGGGCCGAGCTCCGCCGGGTGTGGCAGCTCGCCGAGCCCCGGCGTGCCGGAGCGGCCATGGGGCTGCTGCCGCTGCTGGCCTGGGCGCTGCTGCCAGGTAAGGCCGCCCCGGAGCCCCCGGGCGGGCCGGAGGTGCCGGTGCGGCGGCGGCAGTCCCGCGGCTCCGTGTGTCTCCACAGGCTGCGGCGCAGTGACGGGGCCCGACGTCGTGCGGGGACTCCTGGGCGCTTCCCTGTCGGTCACCTGCACGTATGAGCCGGGCTGGGAGGAGTTGCCGAAATTCTGGTGCAAACCAAGTGTTATGTTTTTTACCTGTGGTGAGGACATCATCATCACGTCGAAGCCCGAGATGCTGCAGGGCCGGTTTTCCATCCGGGACAACCGCACCCAGCGGGCATTCACGGTGATCGTGGATGCTCTGTCCGAGGAGGACGCGGGCACCTTCCTCTGTGGGGTGCGAACAGGAGCATTATCGCGTGATGGAAGTGCTGCTGTAAAGGTGATTGTGCTCTCAGGTCAGTACTTGTTCCCTGCAGGGCCCCCAGGTCCAGCGTGGATTTGTCCTCCTCCAGCTGCTTGGAGCAGAGGCTGCAATGGGCAGAGCCTGGAGCTAAGGGGCGACCATGCAGGTGGGACAGCCCCAGGGTGTGTCACCAGAGTGCAGCAGGTACCACCACCGCTCATTCCCTATTCTCAGTTCTAGGGGTGCCCAGAGCCCTTTCTGCAGGGTGAATCTATTTTGTACATGTTTTGAGGGGAACTGAGACTGTGAAAAGCCTCATGAGCAGGGGAAAGGTCTTACAGCACTCTGACCTCCAGATGTATCGTCTGGATGTGGCAGACGGGACCCAACTTCTCCTTCTGTGACAGCACAGAGGTCGCTTCTGACTCATTGCAAAACCCACAGCATTTTTCTCCACAGAGATCAACCATGCCTCTCCTCTTTTTGTTACAGCTTCTTCCACCCTCCCATCATCGACTTATGTGACCACCACGTCCTCTGATCTCATTCTCTCTGTAACAGGCCTCACACAGACAATTTCCCAGGGGGAAATTTTGCAATCAACATTAAATCCCTCCACCCGTCAACTGTGAGTAGCAGTTCCTGCCTACAGCAGCCACTTTCCTCCATGAGCTCTCTGGTGCAGCTGGAGCCCTGCAACCACTGGACTCCTCACACCTCCCTTAAGGATCCAGACCTTGTGCTTTTGCCTTTAGAGACCACTCCACATGGAAAAATTCTTCTCTGTGAGGGTGGTGAGGTCATGGCACACATAACCCAGAGACATTGTGGGTGCCCCATCTCTGGAAGTGCTCAAGGCCAGGCTGGATGGGGCTCAGAGCAACCTGGCCTAGTGGAGTGTGTTCCTTCCCATGGCAGAGGGCTGGAACTGGATGATCTTTAAGGTCATTTCTGACCCAAATAATTCTCTAGTTCTATGGCAGTAATTCCGGTGCCTCTAGGACATGGGAGAAGTGGTTTCTGCCTGCAATACCAATCCCATTTCCTTCCCCAAAACTCAGTGAGACTGTTAGTAGGAAGCCAAGTGTTGCCAGTGTCCTGTTCTTTGTAGTCACACACAGCCTGGTAGAGATAGTTGAAAAAGCGTGAAACCAGAGTGTTAGATCTTCCCCCCTTCTCTCCTGCCTGTGGAAGGTGATGCCAGGGGTAGACAAAGCTGAGACTCCCCATCAGCACACTCAAGGGTGTGCTGGCTCACCCACATTTCCTGCTTACCCATTACAGACAAGGTTAACAAAGAGTGAAGTTAAACCAGAGCAAATGCAGGAACCCATCCTTAAATCACTGAAGACACAGCGGCTCTCAGACCCAAGCATCCTTTTGCTTCTGCAGTTTTTGGTTTGCTTGGTTCCATATGGTAGCCTGACCATCCCATGCCTGCTGTGATGGGCAAGCCCTGCCACTCTACTGCCACAGCTACTTCTGTGTCACCCACAGCTGCTTCCTGCAACCCTGCTCCGTGCTGGGTCATCCTGAGAAGCATGACAACATAAATTGTCTTCTTCATTCTTTTTTTCTTGCAGCTTGAATGTGGTTGAGCACATCCTCACTCCAGCCATCATTGTGGTCCTTTTTTTGCTTGCAGTGGCTGCTGGTGTTCTAGTAATATTCTCCAGGAAGAAGAAGGGTGAGTGAAGTTGTCAGTGCCACACACGTCCTCTTTCTGTAACAGAGCCTGCTCTGCTTCCCTAATTTTTCCCTATTTCCTTTTCCTCCCCTATTCCCTTCCTGATCCATCCAGGTCCTCAGTCCATCATTGAGACCTCCACCAAGGAGGTCTCCTTTCCTCAAGGGAGCAGTGGGTCCATGCCATGGGTGTTACCACATGGGTGTTGTCTCCTGGGAGCAGGGAATGGCAGCCCTTGGGGTGGGTGCTGCTCAGGAATCTGCTTGAGTTTGTCTGGGCACCATCAGCTTCTCGAGATGGGCTCACTTGCATGGGCCAGGCTTACTCGAGGCTTGATGCAAAGTTTAAGGCCAGTGTGAAGGATGGGGAGGGAGAGGAGAGGACATTACCTCTCCAGCTGGCAGGTGGGGTCTGTCTTTACTTGAAGAACTGCTCCATGGATGAAGCAGTTTAGGTGGCTCATGGAGTGTCAGGCTCCTGTCCTGCTTTATGGCAAGATTTGCAGTGGCAGTGCAGTTTCTCAATACGTTTCTTTTCCTCTGTTTTCACTCATGTCCATTCACATCCATGCTTCATCCAGCCCTTTCTGGAGCAGCCATAGAGATGGACAGGACTTGCAGCATGTCACCTACAGTAAGGAAAACCTCATGAATTCCTGGGATTCTGTGCCCCAAGTTCACATGGAGATAGGAAACATTTCACCCTGAGCTGCCAGAGCTGCTGCTTTCAGCCAGGTTCATGGCACTTTAGGCTGGGAGGGATGCTTTGGGCTCTGCTTGCCAACAGAAAGACACAGCCAGGGATTTTGTGTGACTATCACAGAGTATTCCTGGGAAAGGAATTTAGGATTGAGCTGAGAGGTTTCTCTTCGAGCTTCTCCAAGCATGGGAGCTACTTCTCTGGGTGAAACAGCCTCGGGAACCTGCAGCAAATCACACTTGAAGTGGCTGCAGGGTAGCTGCTCCTTGCTTACTGTTTGGAAAGTATTTTCTCATTTTTTGCTGCCAGCTCTTGAGGAGGGGATGATGTCACAAGAATTCCCCTGGGGAATGTTGAGCCAGCCCTTGTTTCAATTTTTATTTCCACCCAGTGCCCCTGCAGCCACCTCAGCACCCATCAGGACAAGGCAGCAGGGTGGGAGATATTCCCACCCCTGTGGATGCAGGTGGGGAGTGGCAGCAGGGTAAGAGCTCATCCTTCTCCATCAGGGAGCAGAAGCCTTGAACTATGCAGGCATTTACCACAGCACGGGCGTGCACAGCAGCGCTGAGGCTTTCCACCGCCCCGAAACGCTGCCCGTGGAGTACACAGAGGTCAGGCAGAGTGCTCAGGTAGGAGAATGCCGAGCATTGCCAAGCTGGAGGTGGTGGGAGGAAAGCTGGAATGGGTGGGTGACAGAATAGCAGCAGGGTGGGCTGGGTGGGGAAGGAGAGGACTGCAAAGGGAAGTGCCAAACTGGGCTCCAAGTCACCCTGGCTAATGTGGGTTCCCTCTCTGATCCCTGTGGCTGCTCCTGGGTGCTTAAAATGTCACAGAGAGGTTCCAGAAGACAGTGTTTGCCTGGAGCAGCCCCACGAAGGATGTTTTTGTTCATCTCCCTCCTTTTCCAGCTTTCAGAAGAGGAAAGAGAGGTGTTATATGCCAGAGTGCAGAAGCCCATGCCGCAGCAGGAGCAGATCTATGCCAACATGTCATCAGCTCTACGACCCAGGGAAGAGTTCTTCAGCACAGTCTGAGGTGGATGAGCAAGCACCTGGCCCCATGGGCTGCTCCTGCTGCTGCAGCACCAGTGAGACTTGCACAGAGGACATGGGGTTGATGTTCTGCTCAGGCAGGAGCCAGCTTGACAGCAGAGCTGCTGCTCTCCGAGGCTTGGATGTTACTTTGAGGCAACATCAGAGAGGATGAGGTTGTGTGGAGACACAGAGAGGGTTGAAGATAAAGTCATCCCTTTGCAAATGCAATTTGGAGTCCTCATCCGTACAGCAGCGGTGCTGGGATTAAAGCTCTCCCCCTTGCAGTGGGGTAGTCCAGGCCAGAGACCCACCAGGCAGGGTGTGGGAGAGGTGAGGCTGGGCTGGTGGGTGAGCTGGCTGCCTTTGCTCACCACTCATCCCACTTGCTCCTTTGGCTGCATTGCTCAAGGGGGCTGAGGCTCCCAAACCCACTGGTCACCTCAAACTGACAGTTTTTCACGCTAATTCTAGCTAGCAGCTCCTGGGAACCAGGACAGTGGGAAATGTTATATCCAAATGCATTTCCATGGGGTGCTCATGTGGAGGGTGAGGTGTATCAGGATCTTGGTGCAGAAATGGCATCTCCCCCGAGCCCTGGTCCCACAGGCCCCCAAGGTGGTTTGCTCCTGCTCTTTCTCTCATCCCACCCCTGAGGACACCCAGCCTGGGAGCACACAGATGGGCTGTAACCATCACCTTGCTCTTTTCTGCTTTGCTGATAACTTTTTTTTTTCCTGGCACCCACTAAATATTTTCTGTGGGAAGTGTTGCTGCTTTATCAGTGACACCAAGAATCAGATAACACTGGCCGTGGTGTGTGACTGTGTTTGTACAGCAGGTTCTCATCTGCTGAAGGGTTTATTGCAGAGTGTCACCCTGAAAGCAGGTCCAGCCCTTGGCTGGTGCCCAGCAGCGTGAGCACTCAGATCTTTGAGGACAAGGACTCTTGGGCCTCCAGCACTGTTGGAACTTAAAATAACCACATAACATGTTAATTAAACAAACACACTCATACCATTTCCTCTAAAATAAACAACATATTAACAAATAACAACAGTGCAAAACAAACAACATTCACTCACATTTATTCACTCTCACATTCATTCACTCTCACATTTACACACATTAATTCACTCACATTTATTCACTCTCACGTTTATTCACTCTCACATTTACACACATTAATAAACACATTAATTCACTCTCACATTTACACACATTAATAAACACATCCATTCACTCTCACATTTACACACATTAATAAACACATCAATTCACTCTCATTTGCACACATTAATAAACACATTCATTCACTCTCTCATTTGCACACATTAACAAACACATTCATTCACGCTCTCATTTGCACACATTAATAAACATCCATTCACTCTCTCATTTGCACACATTAACGAACACATCCATTCACGCTCTCATTTGCATACATTAACAAACATTATTCCATCTCTCATTTGCATACATTAATAAACATTATTCACTCATTTACACGCTCCCGTTCTCTCTCAGGCCCCGCCCCCTCCTCTGGCCCCGCCCCCCCCACCCACGCCCCGCCCCCCCCACCCACGCCCCGCCCCCCGTGCCCGCGCATGCGCGGCTGGCGGCGCGGCGGGCCATGGCGGCCGGCGGGGCGATGGCGGCGGGCGGGCGGGCGCGGAAGCTGGTGCGGCGGTACCGGCTGGCGGCCGCCACGGCCCTCGCCATCCTCCTGCTCCAGGGGCTCGTCCTCTGGAGCTCCGCCGGCCTTGATGAGGAGGGCCTGGCCGAGGTGTGCCCGGGGGGACGGGCGGTGAGGGGTGGGGGCCGTGCTGGAGGAGGGCGGTGAAAGCGCTGAGGGCGCCGTGAGGGGCTGAGGATGTGGCGGCAGCCCGGGGAGGCCTGGGGGGCTGGAGGTGGGCTGAGGACCTGGGGGCCGTGGGAGGGCTTTGGTGGCAGGGGCAGCCCTGGGGTAGCGAGTGTCCCCTCGCTCGGGAGCTGCGCGGGGACAAAGGGGTGGCACGGTGGGTTTGGCAGGCCAGACCCACGATAGGGGTCCTGGGGTGGAGGGCCCTGCAGCCTCAGGCTGCTGGAGGTGTTGGTGTCGGTGCTAGCGGGGTGTTTCCTGGGGCACCTGCAGGGTCACAGCACCTGAGAACGAGAGCTTGTGGCACTGGGGGTTTGTTTTGGGTCTGGCATAGAGTGGGCCTTGTGAGGGGCTTGTTGCACTTGTGGTTTGGGGGATGTTGTGGGAAACTGGGGTCAGGGGCACCCAAACCAAAAAACGTGGAGTTCAGAGAGCTGGCAGGTTTGTGTCAGCTCCTGTGTAGCTGTTGTGGTGAGAGGTATTCCTGTGAAGTGGGAGAGTACCTTTTGGAGTCGCTGATGTCTTTATACTAGAACACCCTACTACAGCCAAACGCATCACTTCTTTCTTGTGATTGTGGGGAAGCTGAGGCATGGTCTGGTAAAGGAGTTTGCCCAAGGTCAGACACAGAGAAGGTATCAAAGAGGACCCAGGCTGATGAAGCACATTGCTGCCACCTTCAAACAAAGCTTCCACCTGTGGGTTGTTAATTTGGATTTGTTTATTTGTTGGGAACTGCCCAGACTGTGTCCAGGTCTGCTATGTCTGTGTGGACCAGTGGCTGAAGCCTTGTATTGCCTCCCTGGTGTGGAGGGTGATCCCATTGTCAGCAGGTCTAGAAGACTTTCCTTGAGAGCAAAGAGGTGAGAAGGGGAATGGGGCAGCCCCTTGCAGTGGGGAATGTCTCTAGAGTGACACCACTCATTCAGCAGCTGAATTCCCAGCCTTGGGCCTCCTCCTGGGCCACAGGGAATGGCCATGAGCACCCTCATGTGCTGCCATAAGCCCCTCATCAACACAGAACCTGGGAATGAATGTGGCAAGGGGAATGAATGTGGCAAGGAGAGGATCGTGATCTGGGGGCACTGGAAGTGTGAGAGCAGACTGGTCTGGCACCAAGGAGTGCCCAACTGCTTCTCTGTTCTGTAACCTTGATCGAGTTATTTCACCCATCCCAGCTTCTCCTTCCCTCTGTACCATCCTGCACTGTTTGTCTGCTGTTCTCTGCTCCCGCCCTTCACAGCCTCCTGGGTTGGCTCATTGTGCCTTGCTCCTTGTCTGGCTTCCCCATGTCTCATCCCAAAACTGAGCTGGGCAGCTGAAGAGGTTTGGCCATGGGTCCCTTTTCCTGGAGAGGAGTTGGTTCACCACCAGCAGTCCTGGGAACTGACAACCCCTTTGGAGAAGAAACAACCATTGTTAAATTCGTGGACAGCCTGAACCCATTAGCAAGCTGGGAAAACTCCAGTTAACCTTTAATTCTTATAAAATGCAAAGCTCTTGGTTTCTGTGCTGTCCTGCCATCTGATTTTGGCCAGACCTAGAGGAGACACCATTTCCTTAATGGCATTTCTGGTAAAGCTGGAGGAACAGTCCCAGCAGAGTCTGGCCTTGCAGGCCTGAAAGGATTCATGGAAGTTTGGGATTTCTTAATTGCCATAGTAAATAGCTCCTTCCCACTAATGGATGCAGCTCATCCCCACTGTGAATGGGCTGTGACTGGCTGTGGAGAAAGAAAGAGACACTGGAGTCCTAGAAGTGCTGTGGAGCTGGCTGTGCCTCTTGGATCTATCAGTTCTCCTCCCAAGCCCTATTTTGGGGTCCTGCAAGGCACTCTCTTTTACCAAGCAGATGCTTTATGGAGCGCAGATCAGGAGTATTTGGATTTGTCTTCATCTGCCCAAGTCAGCACTGTTTTCCTCCTGGAAACCAAATTACTCTAAGTGAGCGCTGGCTGGTGCCTGGAGTCATCTGTGTGGCAGAAGAAGGGGATGGGGAGCCTCACTGGCTGTCCCACACAGGTCTTAAATACAGCAGAACAATGTGGCCAGAGCTATTCCCTGCCAGGCTGGGGTGGAGGGATCATTCTGCTGTGGTGCAGTAATTAGAATGCCTCGAGTTCCTTGGCTGGCAGCTCCAGAAGGGCTGGCAATACTTGTAACAACTTCCCTACTGGGAAAGGCAGCTAGGCATGCTCCTGAGCTGGGAACAGGGCTTCCTCCAGAGGGATGAGCAGGACTGTAACCACGGGTGGGTGTCAAACAGGGGGTGTCCCCAGAGTCAGGTGTGTTGGGGAGTGCAGGATGTGAGTGGGATCAGCAAGTCTCTTCCTGTAGGATCATGGAAGATACTGTCTCCTCACTTGTGGCCTTCCAGCTGCCCTCTCCTGTGATGCTCTGTGGGAAAAACAGGTTTACAGCTCTGGAACAGATGGTCCTGATGGTGACTAATGAAGGGTTCACTGCCTGTCTTGGGCTGCCTGTGACGCCTGTCTGGGTGGAAGCAGGCTTGGCTGATCCCCACCGAACCAGCCCTTTGGGATTTCAGCAGTGGTTTGGCCATGGCTATGCCAGCACAACCTGGGTAGTCTGGGGACTCTGAAATGGGCAGATCACATCAAATGCTTTCCAGCCTTTTCACTCTGTGCTTTCTCCTGGCTGTGACCTTCCCAGCAGCTACACCCTTTGGGGAGTCTTATGCCAGGGGCTAGTTCAGTCCTGCTGTCCTTGTGAGGCATCTGTCCATCCTTGTGAGATGCCACTGCTCAGGAATACTCCTGGTTGTTCCTTACAGCTCCCCGTGGTGCCTGGCACAGCCTCTGAGCAGTCAGAGTTTGGGGGTGCTGTGAGACAGCCCTGGGAGGCTGGGCTGGAGCAGGCAGCTGCTTGCCTGTCATCCAGGAGTGCCTGTGGTGGGCTTATGGGTGCACTCACTGGGAAAGTTCTTTCCCATGGGAGTGGCATCCAAACTTCCCAGCTCTCCCCAAGGCTGACTGTCGCTGCTGTTCAGCCAGCCTAGCAGAGGTAAGGAAGTGTAATTAAGTGTTCCCTTTACGCATCTGCTTGGGTCCACAGGAGGGTTTGTGACTGGATTTCTAGGGAAGGTGGTGATGGCAGGGCCTAGGTCTATTTCTGTGCAGTGCTTTCAGCCTAGAGAGCACAGCTGTGGCTGCCTGGGACTCTGGCTGTGCTGGGCTTGTGCTCACAGCATGGTCATGGCAGGGAAGAGTTGGTCCAATAACCTCACAGTGAAATAGCCAGTACAGCCCAGTGCTCATCTCCAGCATCAGGGATGTCCCTGCAGGTGGGCAGACCTCAGAGGGTGGCTGGTGCAGACACAACCCACTGTGTCCATTTAGTCTGTCGTGAGCCCAGCCACAGAGAGTGAGACTGTCTGGGTGTCCTCATGATGGGGGCATAGGCAGGGGGCTGCTGTTGGGTCTTAGCCTGAGGTTTTGGGTGGTGAAGGGGCTGTGTAATGTCCTGTGCTGCACAGGGGTTGCTCCTGGAGCAGCTGTCATGCTGCAGCATTGAGCTCTGTGGGGACTGGGAACGGATACTCTGAGGAGCATGCTGATAGAATTAGGGAGAAGCAGGCCCAAGTTAATGCTGTCTGTCCTCTCTTCTGCATCCACATGACCCTGCCCCAGGAGCGGCAGAAGAAAGCTGGGTTTCCCGAGAGCAGCGATGGCTCCAAGGACTCGGACAGCTCTGCTGGGCGCCGCAGCAGTGCCGGCCGCAGGCATGGCCGATGGCGGGGCCGGCTGGACAGCCCCGGGGCCATGGTGTCCAAGGTGGTGAGAGCCGTCACGGCCAGGCACAAGCCAGGATGGAGACTGCCAGCCATGCTGGATTCCTCCAGCCACAGGAACCTGACGGAGCTGCGTGGGGAGGCTCAGCTGGCCATCTTCCAGCAGGGTGACACGGGCAGCGTGGAGGGGGCTCCCCAG